TGAGTCTTTGTGCTATGTTGCTTCCCATCACACACTCACACATATGCACTAATACACATATACTCACACACATGTGAACATACATACACACGCATACAAGCACATACTCACACATTCACATACCTTCAGAAGCACAGCCACACACACATTAATACACACACACATGCATATAGACACAGACTCAAACACACAGATACATACATACACACACACACACACACCCCACACACAGGTTTCTGGTTCCTGCCACCACCTCCACTTCAGCAAAAATTCACTGTTGTCTCACAAAATCAGGGCTTGGCTAGAAACATTTGCTCATGTGAGTCAAGCATCATGCTTCCATTCGGCCTCTGAGCCTTTCCTCACAGACAAGGAAGCCGGAGGTAGGGCAGGATGCCACCATGCCAAGTGCAAATATCACATGGTATTAAGTCACTTTTATGGGGTACTGATAAACCTGCCCCTAGTGAAAAAAAAAAAAAGCTAAATTTGATATAGTACACTGATACCTTGATTAGTGAATTCCTGAAGAGTAAACTCCCCTTAAAAGAAGGAGGAGTCTTCTCTTCAGCGTTCATTTACTTTTTAGGAATACACTTATTCTGTGCAGCACGGCTGCCCTGGTTTGCAACTGTGTGACAAAATATCTCAGAAAAAAGTTTTGTTTTTCATTGGCCACTTTAAGATTGACTGGGGATAATTCTAGGCTGAGTTATGAATGCAAATACAAAATAGACTGATTTAGAATTGAGGAACTGAAAGATCCTGAAAGGTGGTGGTCCTTTGGTACTGGGTCTGACTTTGTGAGCAGAGCGTTTTGCAGAGTGGGTGTGCTGACTAGTGCAACAGAGGGGTTAGGGTCCTAAGCCCCAGCTCCGCCCTTCACTACCGAGGGATCTGGAGGCACTCAACCTCCATAAACACCAACCGCCTCCCTGACAGGTAGAGTGATAATATCTGGCTTAAGGTTTTGCGTCTCTAGGCTTCCAGGAAATGGCACTTCTTTTCCTTCACTGTTCCCTCCTTCCCTTTTATCATCTGTACTGTATTGCAGAGGCGAGGGGGTGATGGGGCAAGGCTCACTCCTCAGGCCCCTGAGTTTCTGTTTACATTCTCCCCCTTGGTTACCACGCCTTCAGCCATATCATCCACCTCCAGCTCAACCTCATCTACGTTTTCATCTTAGGCTATAGACCTCCACGTGGACTCTCTGCCAAGGCATTTTACATTCAACAAGTGCACAGCCAAATTTTTATTTCTTCCCTAAACTACCTCTTAACTTTGAAAAAATTCTTTCAAATAGGACCTCTAGGCTCAAATATCAAAGCGCTGAGTCAGCTTTAACACTTTTTCCCCCTTGTTTCCTTATCTCTGAGTCACCAAATTGTAAGTTCTTCCATTGAAACATATTTGGTAAGAACAATTATAAAAACTCAAATGGCTGTAAAACTTGTGTTAAGGGATTTTTAGAGTACCAAGATTGTTTCCTTAACATACATTTATTAATTTAAAATTAAAGACATTTCTGTTCTCCAATCTTAAGTGGCTCGGCCATTGCACAGTTAGCTATAATAGATAGAGTCTTTGTTCAGTCACCCCCATTGCAACATCCTACACACAACTGTGAAATTCACCTCAACTTCCTGCTTAAAATCTTCAACCTTCCTCCAGTGTTTCAGAATAGCACTAAATGCAGAAAAGCCTTGCATTTAAGGTTCCCTCAAATCTACTGCCAGTCTATGTTTCAACTTTTTATTGATCCAATTCAGTTCTACAAGTTCTCCTTAAATGAAACTCCTTACTCCTCTTGGAATAAACTATGCTTTTCCTGACCCCAAATCTCTGCTCGTACCATTCTTATCTATTTTCATATTTTCCCTATTACACTGATATTCATTTATCATATTTAGTTGAATCACTAGGATGTCAGCCTCCTCTGCCCCAACAGCCATATTCCTTTTTGTCTTTTCTGAACCCTCATAGAACACTGACTGTGGTATGCTCATGGCACTTATCACATAAAACCTCTCTCTTAGGTTACAGATTCTGAAACACAAATATCACCACTTTCCTAATGTGCTTCTGAGTACTAAGTGGGCCTCAGTGTATTAAAAACCTTTGATGTAGTCACTGGATGGTGCCTGGGACAGCGGTGGAAGCCATGTTTTCTAACCTCTGTGAAAATCGTAGAGCTATTTTCTATTTTGTTAAAGGTTTTTCAACCTAATTATATAAACATTGCTTTGTAATTCCAAAGCTCTGTAGAGACTATTCTTGTCCCAAATATTTCTTGATCAATGGGTACCTGAGTCCCTGAGAATACACAGATGTTTTTTATGGATCAAGTATGAAGGCTCAGGACCACAGATGTCATCAGATGTAGCTGGTCTCAAATCATCTCCCTGAATTGCCTAATTCAGAGTCCTCCACATAGAAGAAAATTTTGCTGCTTAACTCCAACAAAAAGAACGTAGTGTGGTAGAGTAGGGTAGGTAAGTAGAGGTTTGGGAATAAGACAAACTGGATTTAGATTCTGACCTGGTCACTTACTAGCTGCGCAGATTTGGGTAAATTGCTTACCTTCTCAGCTTGCTTCCTCATCTCTAAGATGTGGACAGTTATCTCCACTTTAAGAAGTTGTCATGGCAAAACGGTGTATAATGTCTATATTGGAACACAACAAATTGAAGACAAAATATCTTTAGTAAATTACAAATTTGAATATCTAATTTTTCTTAATCATGCATAGATTTTTATCATAGAACTTTTTTCTAAGTTGAATAAGTGGAAATCTTTTTTTTTTTCTTTTTTCAACATTCTGAGGAAATGTTGAAATTTTGGGAGTGCTGTTACTGAAAGTATTACTAGAGTCTACTCAGTTACTTCTCATAAAAGTTCCTTTAAAAAAAGATGAATTATTAACTAAGTAGTTTGGAAGGTAAATGCTTAGAGCATTTAGTGTGGTTAAGCTGGGTGATAGACATTTTTTTTCCTACATTTGCAGACTTCAATGTTTTCTTTGAATAAAAAGTTATTAAATCCACTTAATAAACAGTTCTAACAGGCCTCATAGATAAGTCTTCTAGCAACTCCATAACTGGCCTTGATCTTCACCTATTTTTATGATACCACCTTGCCTTTCACACCACTTCTATGAGCTCACGCAGGGATGTACACTATCTGCCTATGATGGTGTAGCAAAAGGGAGTGGCAGTTAAAGTCATGGGAGGCTCTCTGGAAAAATAAATGAAGATCTGGTATAACTTCTAAAACACTCTGAGCCCTTATACACTTTGTGATTTTATGCCAAATATGGACTTAAAAATAAGGTATTTTGATATCAAGGATGAGGACCACATTACATGGTTTTAAAAGCACTCCCCTCCCCTTCTAAACTCTAAGGTGTTTTAATATCAATTGGCTTCAATGGAAACCTATAGGACTTCCCTTCCTGGAATGGTTCTAGCACTGGGTAACACACAGTTCTGGTCAGTACAGTAAGCATGAGTCAGAGAAAATACTGTTGTAGAAACTGCTGATTTCCTCCTTATAAAGCTCACCCTAACCAATAAAGAGTGACCAGAAAGCATTTAGGAAAGGATAAGAGGCATGGACTCCACAGCTGGTCCGCGGACCAACGCATAATTTCAAGTTGGGGATTCCATGTAATCAGGTAAAGTGTCTGGGGGGATAGGAAATCCAGGCTAGGACTCTGCTAACCAGCTCAGTTACACTATTGAAGAGAAACACGTTCTGAGTTGTTCCCGGTGAGGATGAATAACTGGCCTCTCATCAATGTCGTTTGGTGTTTGGGGCAGGAACAGTCCCCTGACCAGCAGTCCTAGCTCCGTGGTTCTCAACCTGGCTGCAGAGTAGAATTACATGGACCGCTTTAAACAATCCTGATGTCCTGCCGGTCCCATCTCCAGAGATTCTAATTTAACTTCAGGTGTAGCTTGAACATTTGGATTTTTAAAACATCCCCATGTCATTCTAAGGTGTGGCCACCCTGGCAAACCCCTGGCATATACTTAAGGTTTTTCTAACAAAGCTTCCTCTTAAAATCCACCCTCTTACTATTTGGCTTTCTAGCGCTCCGTTTTTGTTTTTACAATTTTCTCCCAGCCGACACACGTCTACAGCACAGGACGGTGACTTTCTACCTGCAGTCACACTACAGCAGTCCCTAAGTAGAATCCAAGAGGTGTCCTTGGTTTATAAGGAATACCCCTGGCGACGAAAGCGATCCTCATGCAAACATGCTAAGAACACTGTTCACTCCCTGCTGTTTCTCGACCTGCTTTCTTGGCTGGTTTCCCATTTGCTGTTTTCAGATTACAGAATGTTCAAGGAGACAGCACACGGTGGTTCTTCCCTCTCATCTTCTTGTTGCCATTTGACAGACCTCCAAGGTGAAGACGCCAGGTCCCTGGGTGCGTCCCGTTTCTCAGCTCCGGGGGCAACCTCCAAGCCGGCCGCACCTACCGCTCAGCTTTGCAGCACTCAAAGGTGCTTCATTTCCACTTAAACTAATCCAGATTCCGGGCCAGGAACGCCTATGCCACTTAACCAATCCTCTCGCCTCCTTTTCCCCTATTATTTTCTTTAGGTAAGAAAGCAGATATTTACATTTCCACTTGGCGGCTCATAGCAGGCCCCACCCTAGCAAAGAGAAAGCAAGAGTCCCAGCGTCCGGGCCCAGCGAGCTGCTTTCCCTGCCCGGGCCCCTCTTTTTCCTCTTTTTCGGATCCCAGGGGCCCGTGAAGATGGGGCTCCCGCCCTTCCCCGCCCAGCACCTGGTGTGAGAAAAGCCCTCGCCCACTCATCTCGTTCGCAGTCCTTTGGTGATTCAGAGCCCCGGCCCCGCCCAGGGCGCTAATCTAACTTGTTGCTCAATTTCGGAGCGCTGCTCAGACTTCAGCTCCCGTTTCCAGCCCGCTGTGTCTTCACCGCGGAGGCCCGCGCCGGATCCCCGCGCCGGATCCCCGTCCCCGCGCGCAATGAGCCCCGCGCGCCCGCGCGCCCGCGCGCTGCTGAGCTTCCTGGGCGGGCTGGGCCCGCAACTGCTGCTGCTACTATTGCGTCCTCCGGCTGCGTCGGGTGAGTGGGGGTCCGGGGCGCAAGCCCACCCCTGCGGTTCAGCCTTCGGGCAGGGTGGAAGGGGTGGAGGTCGTCGGCGCGACAGCCGAGGGGTCCGCGGAGCGCGGCGGGTGAGCCGTGGAGGCATCCCTAATCCTTCCCGGAGCCCTCCACCTGCAAGGGTCAGCCCTCCTACTGGCAGGATCCCTGGGGACTGAAAGGGCTCTTTGCTGCTCACCTGCCACTAGGAGGTTTACTATGCTGGACCCCAGCTGGCAGGGTTTTAGGAGGGAGCCGTGGAGGGGAGAGGGGGCAAACGTCGAGAATCCAAAAAGACAGGCAGAGGTCGAAGAGAGTGAATCCTCAGCAAATCCTTAAGGTTGGGAGGCCAGATCGTTGCCCACCACACGGTCCAGTCGAGCACAGACTTGGCACTACAAGTTTGCGCGTCGTCTCTTCCAGGCGTAACGTTCCAAGGCGGCATCTGTCTGTATTGTGGGCCTCGAAACAGCATCTCTGTGAAAGTCTAGAGCTCTCTCTGTATGTATATGATAACGAAGGGCAGGAATTTCTTTTAGTTTTGAATTAATTGGCAGACAGGAAGCCTGGCAAGTTCTTGATATGTCAGCTCAGCACTGGATGGAAATATTATGCAGGCATCAAAAGCCTTTGCTGCCTCCCTTATTTGTCTTGGGAAAAGAATGTTGCTGTGAATTGAAAAGTGGGATTTCCTTCAGTTTTGTTTATTCCTTCCTAGGTGACTGCAGCCTTCCCCCAGATGTACCTAATGCCCAAGCAACTTTGATAAGTCTTACAAGTTTTGCTGAAGGACAGAGAGTAACCTACAAATGTAACAAAGGCTTTGTAAAAGTTCCTGGCAAGGCAGACTCAGTGGTCTGTCAAAATAATAAATGGTCAGAGCTTGCTGAATTTTGTAATCGTAAGTTCTTCATTTCATTTTAGAAAAGTTATGGGAATGGAATGTTTCTTAAGTTTAATTTTATCCCTCTTTGGAATGACTGGTAATTGATAGTTTTCTAGCATTATTAATCACCTGGGTATACCTGTTGGCAATTCACAATCTAGCTAATTGATGGCATTACTTCCTGGAATAGGTCCTGCTCTTCATTAACAGGTTTTTTTTTTTTTTCCCCTAACACTGTAACTCTTGAACTGATTAATAGCAAAAATAAGCAATAGGTACTGTTTAGGGAGTAAATTACCTATAACTATGTTTGGCAGTTACCTTGAGACACATAACAGAGTCCTCTGTAGGACTTGCCTAGTACAACTCTGTGGTGATATTTTTAAAAATTCTCAATTTTCATTTCAAAATCTATCTTTATAGGCATTTCCCTAGTTTAGCCTTGGCATGTACAAGTAAAGATAAAAATGTAATTCCTGCATTTGAACAACTTGGAGCAATAGAAGCTATAGTGAGCATAGAAACTGCCACAAGTACTTTTTGAAATCAGGTGTGAAATCAGCTTTAACTTTTTGTTTTTATTTATCTATGATCCAAGGCAGGAGGTTGAAGTACATGTCTTTGCACATGTGTCATGTTTTAGTGTTTATAACTATTCTGCATAGAGTACTTCGTCTAATTCTTCAAACAACTCCCTGAGGATGTTAAGGACTTATTCACATTTTACAGCTGAGAAAGCAGCCCCCAGTTAAACAACTTCCTTGGGATCAGGAGCTCCTTATGCAGAAGAGCCAGCGAGTCTGTTGATTATAGATCTAATGCCCCTTACACTATATGATGCCACTATAAATTCGCATTTGTCTGGATGGTTTCAGGTTTTAAATACTTCCTGTGCTCCATTGGTTCATCTGATCCTTGCCTCCATAGGTTGTCCTGAGGATTAAATGAGTTTATATGTGTAAAACATTTACAAGTACTCAATAAATGTTAGCTATTATTAATTATTATTGTTGTCCAGGACACTAGCCCAGGGATCTGGAAATGCTGGTTCTTACCTATCCCTATGATACATGGGACAGGGTAAGGGAATTGGCATTAATAGAGTCAATGCCAGAATGATGCCAGGCAACTTAAATAAGTTACATTTTCTGAGTTGTGGATGGAGTGACTTTAGTGTACCAAATCTACTTCACAGGGCTCTAGTAACTGGGGAATGAGAATTTACATGTGAATATGCTGATACACTATCAGTGCCATAGTGACATTAATATTAATATTAAATGTACAAAGAAATATGAGAAAAAGTGATCTAAGGACCAGATAATTCAACAGAGATTGTAACATCAAGTGATACTCATTTTTTGTTGTTGTTGCTTTTGTTAATACTTGCAGGTAGCTGTGATTTTCCAACCAGGCTACGTTTTGCATCTCTCAAAAAGTCTTATACCCACCAGAATTATTTCCCAGAAGGTTCCACTGTGGAATATGAGTGCCGTGCAGGATACATAAGGGACCCTTCTCTCTCAGGAAACATAACTTGTCTTCAGAATTTTATGTGGTCCAAACCTGATGGATTTTGTAAAAGTGAGTACAGCTTTAAAGAGTAATCTTAGTCATATGGTGTTTGGGGAAAAAATGTTTCTTCCTTCACTTATAGAGGAAGTCTATGTGTACATATTATTATTTAGAACAATTCTTAAATGAACCGTTAGAACCAATTTGTTTTAAATTAGGCAAACTAATTACTTGTGAGCTAGAAATATTGCTTTGTTCCCTGATTTCACATTTAAAGTTTCAGTTCAGTTCAGTCACTCAGTCGTGTCCAACTCTTTGCGACCCCATGAACCACAGCTCGCCAGGCCTCCCTGTCCATCACCAACTGCTGGAGTCCACCCAAACCCATGTCCATTGAGTCGATGATGCCATCCAACCGTCTCATCCTCTGTCATCCCCTTCTCCTGCCCTCAATCTTTCCCAGCACCAGGGTCTTTTCAAATGAGTCAACTCTTCGCTTCAGGTGGCCAAATATTATAGTTTCAGCTTCAACATCAGTCCTTCCAATGAACACCCTGGACTGATCTCCTTTAGGACTGACTGGTTGGATCTCCTTGCAGGCCAAGGGACTCTCAAGAGTCTTCTCCAACACCACAGTTCAAAAGCATCAATTCTTTGGCGCTCAGCTTTCTTTATAGTCCAACACTCACATGCATACATGACCACTGGAAAAACCTTTAAGATTAAACCTAGTTTGCTGCTGCTGCTAAGTTGCGTCAGTCATGTCCGACTTTGCGCGACCCCATAGATGGGAGCCCACCAGGCTCCCCCATCCCTGGGATTCTCCAAGCAAGAACACTAGAGTGGGTTGCCATTTCCTTCTCCATGTGCATGAAAGTGAAAAGTGAAAGTGAAGTTGCTCAGCCATGTCCAACTCAGCAACCCCATGGACTGCAGCCTACCAGGCTCCTCTGTTTATGGGATTTTCCAGGCAAGAGTACTGGAGTGGGGTGCCTAAAAATGAAATATTGGTAAAGAACTCTCCTGCCAATGCAGGAGACTTAAGAGACAGGAGTTTGATCCCTGGGTCAGGAAGATCCCCTGGAGAAGGAAATGGCCCACTCCAGTATTCTTACCTGGAGAATCCCATGGACTGAGGAGCCTGGCAGGCTACAGTCCACAGGGCTGCACGGAGTTGGATGTGACTGAAGAGACTTAACATAGCGCAAAATGACTTAAGTGTATATTTTGAAGAAAGTGAAAGTCGCTCAGTCGTGTTTGACTCTTTGTGACCCCATGGACTAATACGTTGCTTTCTTGAAACTAATCAAATGAAGGTACAATTTAAATAGTTGGATAAGTAATAGCAGTGGTTCAGATGGTGAGTTTGCATAGATGTGCCTGATAATTTAATGAAAAAAATCAACTTGTATTCTTTCCTAGAAAGATCATGTCCTAAGCCTAGAGAAATAGAAAATGGTCATGTCAATATAACAACTGACATACTACTTGGTGCGGACATCTATTTTTCATGTAACGCAGGGTAAGTTTGAGCATATGAAACACTATATTTAACAACTGGGAAAACAAATTAGGATTTAAGATGGAAACTTTTAGATTTGTGACCAGTGTTTATGAGCAATAAAACTACCCTTCTGCTCAATGATGAACTCATTGCAGTTAATATTAGTAAAATGGGGTAAAAAAGAATATTTCTTATAATACCACCACAATTCTCTCAATTGTTAGATTTCATTATAAAATTTTAACTGTGACTTGTAGAGGAAAAAACTTGTGATAAGTTGATGATCCTTGGAGAAATTAAATCTTTCAGTGTAGAAACCAGTCTTTACCTAAATAATGAGTTTGCATTTGTTTGTTTTCTTTGTGTGCAAATAATCTGTTATAAAATATCAAGGGTTAAAAACAATCATTCTTAGTGTAAAAATATCCTTCTGACCTAAGATCTTTTGTAAGTTCTCTATATATGGGAAAGGGGTATTGTCATTGAGGATTATCAGTGTTTCAAGTGCGGCTAAAAACTTTATATTCATTTTCTCATTTAATATCTGTAAATTGAACTATGATATTTTATTCTGTGTGTGTGTGTCCGTGTTCTTTATAAAGCTACCAGTATCATTTGTCTCCTGTACTAAACACAGATATTTGGATCATTAATAACAAATCTGGGGATACTTTGAATGCTTTAAATATAAGTACATTCTGTTATTCTATGGAATCTATATTGATCTTTTAGAACTCATAAATAGAAAAGATTTAAGCATCTGTATTCAATATATGCCTTATCCAAATAAAAAATATTTTGCTTATCTTACAGTTTTTTATCTTTGATGTCACCCTTTTAGATATAAGTTTTTCTTTTCCTTTAAACTGCCAAATGAGCCTTTATCAACTGTTGTTTTGTCTCTATCTACTGGTGTAATAAATATTGTAAGGTGCTATTCTGAACGAGTTAAGGGAAGTCAAATATGTGTGAATGGAACTTAATGTTTTCTTCTTCCCTCATTATTTTAGGTACAAATTAGTTGGTGCAGCTTCTAGTTTCTGTGCTCCTATGGGAAATACTGTTGGGTGGGCTGATGAATTTCCAGAATGTCAAGGTAAGACTGAAAAATTCTAAGGACTCTGCTGTGGGACTGAATAATCAATGATAAATTGCTTTTTGGTCTTTAAAATTACCCTCAGTATATATTTGTAGTACCCTCACCTTCCAATGTGTGAATGTTTTGCCTAGTTTATATAACTCTATTAGTAATGCTTCTTAATTTATTAACCATGAGGATAAAGGATTAAAAATTAACTAAGGTTTATATTCTGCTTGGTCATTTATTATCTTATCATTCCTTCTAACAGTCAAATAAAATAGATTTGGGATTTTTTTCCCCTCCTTCATAATTTTTAATTTTTGGTGGTTAAAATACTATTCATTAGAAGGTCTGTGTGACTTGACCCTATATGCCAAAATAAGTGGCCAAAGTAGGCACTTAACCCAGACCTCTTGATTTCAAACCCGTCATTCTTCTAAGACCTAGTGTTACTTACACTAGACTCCTTTAAGGATTGTTAACTGAGCTAATTATGTTGAAATGTTTTAAACCGTGCTATACTTTTATCTTTAGAGAAAGAAGCATTCATAGCAATGAAGAAATATCTGCACTTGAAAATTCTATCTTCTCAAGAGGGAAGAGGGCACAGAGATTAATTTCCTAAAAGGGTATATCAAGTTAGATACATGTGCATTAGAGACATATGTCTCCTGAAAACAGAGGAGTAGATACGTGCAGTGTTTTAAAAAGTAGGTTTTATTTCTCTCATCCTCGTTGAAATTATTGCTCATTTCAAGTTTTGGTGTTATTAAGAGCAGGAAACTTGAGTAGATGTAGTGTAATTTAACAAGCATCACACTCTTTGGTAGGGAAAGTGTGGGGTCAACTGATAAGAAGACAAATGAAATGAAGCCTTGCCAACCAGTAGTTTGCTCTTGCCACACCCACCTTGGACCCCACCTCCTATTCTACTATTGCTTCCTCTTTTTCATTATTATTTTTCAGTATCCATCCTTACTACCCGCCATCACCTTTCCTATTTCCATCATCCAGTTAGGCATTCTGTAAATGATACTAAAGCATATATGGAAAGCAAGCAGGAGCTGCTGCTGCTGCTGCTTAGTCACTTCAGTCGTGTCCGACTCTGCGCGACCCCATAGACGGCAGCCCACTAGGCTCCCCCGTCCCTGGGATTCTCCAGGCAAGAACACTGGAGTGGGTTGCCATTTCCTTCTCCAATGCATGAAAATGAAAAGTGAAAGGGAAGTCACTCAGTCATGTCCAACTCTTAGCGACCCCATGGACTGAAGCCTACCAGGCTCCTCTGTCCATGGGATTTTCCAGGCAAGAGCACTGGAGTGGGGTGCCATTGCCTTCTCCAAACAGGAGCTAGACCATATCTTTTTTGGTGACAGAGGCAACAGCTTATCACATAGTCTGGACAAGCAGTCTCCCAGTTGAGGCCAACATATTTACAAGCAACCGCTGTCATGAATTTCACAGAAATGTGTACACCAAGCGTGTATTCCAGCACAGAAGAGCTTTTGCACTGCAAACCCCGTTTCTCTTTGTGTTTGCCTATAGCTAGTCCAGATCTTGCTCTCTGTCTAATATCTTCAACTCTGTGGTTAAAAACCTTGATGTCCATATTTTCCGCTCTGACTCTCTTACCTGACTCTGCAACTCTGCAATCACTGACATCTGTATTCTGTGGGAGACCTTTTTTCATTTAGTAACCCCATGTCTTCAACTATCCCTATTAAAGCCCTATTTCTCCTAGTGTAGACTTTCCATTAAAAACTTCAAGTGGAAAGTATAAACTCTTAAGCAATGAGGTTTTTGACCTTCCCTGAGCACACAGCATATCTCAAATATGCAGTCTGGGCCTTTATCAACACATGAGGCAGCATTGGTGTCCGTGTGGATGTGGATATGGAGGTGTGGATCCAAAGAAGGAAGGAACAATGGACATATTCAGAACTTTTCCTTGGTCATACATCAATCAAAGGTGACACTTGTTCACCTCTGAAGAAAGCCTCAATGTCAGAAACACCTGTTTTCCTATCTTTCTGCCAGTATTTTCTTTTCAAAAATAATTTTAGTTGACGGCTAGTACACACTAGCCTAGAATCAGTCGCTGCTATATAGTATCTGTCATTCCAGGCCCCTCTCATTATCTTAACCTCTCACTTGTAATCACCAAATATTATTTCCTTTATCTCCTTAATGTATTTCTCAAGCCTGTATTTTATCTTTCATATAAACACTTTTAATATGGCTTACTAGCCTTCATTTAGACTTTTCAATAAGGGCTATTCCTAACATTTTCAGGGCCTAGGACAGAGTATAAATGGAGGTCCCAGGGCCTCCCTGGTAGCATCTGACTACAATGCGGGAGACCCAGGTTTGATCCCTGGGTCACAAGATCCCCTGGAGAAGGAAATGGCAACCCACTCCAGTATTCTTGCCTGGAAAATCCCATGGACTGAGGATCCTGGTAAGCTACAGTCTGTGGGGTCACAAGGAGTCGGACAGGACTGAGCGACTTCACTCACTCACTCAATCTAAGATTCAGCGTTTCTCAAGTTGGTGCCCCCTTCTTGCACTGTGAGGGGTCTCTGATGCCTGTAAGTGGATAGCTCAACCTACACACCCAAATCATATCCCCTGTAACCCTTAGCCCCACTGCGTTGAACTCTGCCCTAAAAGTGGACACCTCAGCAGTATAGACTATTGTCAAGAATATGGACTAGGAAAAGCCCTGAAAGGAGTGTTGGCCCAGGGAGTTCCGGGCACCAGTTCCTGGAGCATGACTTAGACGGGGTGGGGAGGAGCTCACACTGAGCATACTGTCTCAGCGCTGCAGTTCCCCATCTAGTAGACAGAGGCACACCCAGAGGGGAGCAAGAGCATGGCCTCTCACGATGTGGGAGCTAGGCAGGAGTTCCACTTGCTCAAGTGATGCTGACTGCAGTGGCCTCCAGCCCGCATTCTCACACACCTGTAGTGTTTTATCCAGCCTCGGCCCAGTCATCCACCTGAAATACAAACGTGACTTGTCTCTTTCCTTCTTGAAAGAGACTTGATAGTGTCTCCTCATCATGTACAATGTACAAGGTCTAAACCCCTTCATACAGGTGCAAGTCTAGCCATAGTCTATCCAACTCTCCGCACTTTATGTCTTGCCCCCCTCCTTCACAAACTGCTGAGGTTGTCTGGATACCTCAGACTTCTTCATGTCCCCACATCATTCCTATGATGCTGCCTTTGCCGGGAAATCCCTTCAGTGCCCCCACCCCTTTTATTTTGTTTCTTAAGAGTTTGCTCGGGAATTTCTCCTCGCAGCTTTCCCTGACTGTACCCACAGTCCTGGGCTGGTTAGCTGTTCTTTCTTTCCATACCACTGTACACGCTTCTGTGATAATCCTCACCATTTTGTACGGACATGACCTCTTTGAATGTCTCTTTCTACTATAGTTTAAGACAGAGGAACTGTATCATACTCGGTTATACTTCTATTTATAGAACAATGCCCAGTACATATTAGGTGCTCGGAAACTGTTGGGACTGAACTGATAGTAATGTGTGTTGTTAATTCCCACTCAGCCCTGTGTAAATCAGATTAGCTTGTTTTTGTTCCCTGCTTTGATCAGTGGCCTAAAAGTAATTCATAAATAGCTAGTATTGTCTGGGTACTTAAGAGTATTTGATGTAATATAATTTGACTTCTACATGTGATCACATTGCTTTCCTGCTTTAAAAAAAAAGACAAGAGAAACAGCTTCATGTCTCTAGAGAATGTGGACCCATCAAATTTTTTTTTTCCATTTATTTTTATTAGTTGGAGGCTAATTACTTTACAACATTGCAGTGGTTTTTGTCATACATTGAAATGAATTAGCCATGGATTTACATGTATTCCCCATCCCGGTCCCCCCTCCCACCTCCCTCTCCACCCGATCCCTCTGGGTCTTCCCAGTGCACCAGGCCTGAGGGAAGCTGCCAGGGAGAGACTTCTTTTTATAATAATTGTTATAATATAACAATCAATAGTTTGCTTGTATTTGTTTTACAAATTCAGCTGCTCAGTAAGATTTACTTCAAATAAAAGGCCAAGAGTCAACACATGCTTTAAAAATTTTATCCTGAAAATTAAAGTCTAATTTTGACTTTTAAAATCTTTTGCTCTGTCCAAAATTTCTGTTTCCCATGCATGCCACTTACATTCCCAGCTCCTTTCATTCAGTATTGTTTCTCCCTGGACTCAAAATCCGAGCCCTCTTCTCTGCTCTGAGGAGGGTACATCCTAGGTTTAAACTCGAGTCCTTTTACTCCTTAAATGGAAGGCTCTGCCTTGCTTTCTCTGAGATGAATTGTTCAATTTAGTAGAAGAATGGTATATTTTAATTTTTTAAAATAAAATATTTAACATATTTTAATCTTGTTTATAAAAATATCTGGTGGATTTAATTAATTTAACATATGTTATGATGTTTTAAAAGAAATTTTATGCCCAGAGCCACCAAAAGTTGACCATGGAATGATTCAAGAGAAACAAAACAGTTATGCATACGGACAATCTGTAACATATAAATGTATGGAAGGCTTCACCCTACATGGAGAGAGCTCTATCAATTGTACAGTAGAAGATGACCAAGGAGTGTGGAGTGGCCCCCTACCTCAATGCAGAGGTAATCAGTTTGCGAAGTTACATTTCTGTTTATCCTTACCCTTGGGTCTGTATATGGGCTTCAGAGAGTATACAGACTCCCTGAGAAATGAATGTAAAATGTTGTACATATGCATATTTGCATTTTTCTGGGGAATAGACTCTACGAGGGGATATATGACTTCCAAAAAGGAAGAAGCACCGATGTGGAGAACATATGTTGTTGCTGTTGTTGTCTAGTTGCTTAGTCGTGTCTTAACTCTTTGCAACCCCATGGACCATAGCCTGCCAGACTCCTCTGTCCATGGGATCCTCCAGGCAAGAATACTGGAATGGGTTGCCATTTGCTTCTCCAGGGGATCTTCCCAACCCAGGAATCAAACTTGAGTCTCCACTTCTCTTGCATTACAGGCAGATTCTTTTACTGCTGAGCCACCGTATGGTAAAATACAAATAATACACACATGACCTCTGTGAGTATATGTATTTGTGTAATAGTGCAGGTGTGTGCATACTCAGTCACGTCTGACTCTTTGTGACCCTATGGATTACAGCCCACCAGGCTCCTCTGTCCATGGTATTCTCTAGGCAAGAATACTGGAGTGGGTTGCCATTTCCTCTTCCAGGGGATTTTCCTGACCCAACGATCAAACCCAGGTCTCCTGTGTCTCCTGCATTGCATGTGGATTCTTTACTGCTTGATCTGCAGAGTAGGATGGAGATGTATTTTATATACATATATATATATACACATACATATACATTTATATGCACACACGTATGTCTCGTGTTTTTAGTGAATTAGCTTATATTTGCTGATTCTTACCATGTTACTTTCAATAAGTTAATATAGATATATTCTTGTTTATAAAAAAATTGTATAAATTGGTTTATTTAATTGAGAGGAAATCTTAGATTGAACTGGAGGATCTAAATAATGATCTTATATGTTGTGACAACAAAGAGAAACTCTTGCCTACCTGTTGACTGCATTGAATTGTATTGTTTTCTCCCTCCAGAATTTATCTCTTATTGACAATGTTCTCTTCTTTACATTTCTAGAACTTTCCTAGGAGGTGGCATTTATTTAAGCAGTATCATATTCAAATGCCAGTATACTCAAACAAATGCTACTTTTATAATTATACTTGAATTTTATTAGCATGGTTTTTAAAAAGCATTGCTTATTAATAGTAATTTTTTCATATAAGTGGTATACATGAATATTATGAAGTAGTGTTAAAACTAGGCTTCCCAGGTAGCTCATCTGGTGAAGAATCTACCTGCAATGCAGAAGACCTCAGTTTGATTCCTGGGTTGGGAAGTTCCCCTGGAGAAGGGATAGGCTACCCACTCCAGTATTCTTGGGCTTCCCTGGTAGCTCAGACAGTAAGGAATCCACCTGCAATGCAGGAGACCTGGGTTTGATCCCTGGATTGGGAAGATCCTGTGGAGGAGGGCATGGCAACCCACTCCAGTATTCTTGTCTAGTGAATCCCCATGGACAGAGGATCCTGGCGGGCTACAGTCCATGGGGTCACAGAGAGTCGGACATGACTGAGTGATTAAGCACAGCACAATGTTAAAACCATGTTGATGATTATATAAAATGAGAAGCAAAAGTCTCTTCTAGTCCTACCCTCAGAAGTAGCCACTGTTTACAAATTTTTGTGTTTTATTCTAGGAAACAAATATACATACACATATTTCTTTTTAAAATCATATTAATTATATGGATATATTACTTACTTAACCAGTCCCCTGTTGAAGGGAATTTAGTATCTGTTCTAGTTTTTAAAAAATTATTTTAAATAAGTTCTACAGTAAATATTATTGTATTCCTTATATCTGTGCAAGTACATTTTTTACAATAAATTCCTTGCAGTGTAATTACAATATCAAAGATATATGCATTCAAACTTTTGATAGATGTTACCAATATTGTTTCAAAAGAAACTGTACCAATTTGCTGTCCCAGTAATATTGCATATTTGTTCTCTGTATCATTAATGATAACGGTTATTATGATGTGGAGATGTGATAGTTAAAGTGTGGAAATTTCATTTAATTTTTTGAATTCATTTAAAGGGAGTAAATTTTGATATTTTAAAATTTAGCCATATGATCCACTTCATATTTATTTTCCCTATTTTATTAAATAATCAGCTATTTAGAATTTATAATTCTGTGGTAATGCTCAAGGATGTCATGGCAGGCCAATGCTGGCATGACAATAACTACAAAACCTGGGTAGATTATTTTTAAAAACCATATTTTAAAGGCAAAAATTGTTCCCTCAGGGAAATAACTAGGGCTGAATGAACTAAAATTCCAAGTGAAGGCAAACGATTCTGATGTGCACGTAGGCTGAGGATCTGTCTTGAACCAGATAAAAGACCATTGCTCTTGGTCGTTGTGGTTAGCTAGGATAATACACTAGAAACTGGAAATTCTCAAATGCTGACCCAGTTTTTCCTAAGAGCCATTTGCCAATTTCTAGGAATGCAGATGAGACTGGGGAGCTAGACCCCAAGCTGCCAAAGTACAAAATGAGATCTTCCTGACCCTTATGGTATTTGGACAGCAGACCCATCACAAGAACAGGCTTGTATCAAGCATACAGCCAGCATCCTTCTTATAACATTTAAGCTCATTTTGAAGCTTTGTGGAGAGAGAGGTTGTGTTGCTAGAGAGAGCACTGCTGAAGCATAGACTAGGATCGCCCACAGTCTCTCAGGGCTGAGGAAGAAAGAACCGCTTCCAAGAAGCAGAGGCAAGAGCAGAAGTAGGCTGTGTCATATGGGAAAACTGTAACCCAGCTTGGTCCTCATGGGTCAGGATGTGGTCACCACAAACCAATCTGCTTATCAGAAGAGGGTACTCTCCCTTTGGAAGATCATATCATCTGAATTTTATACAATGTATTGCATATAATAAAAATTATGAGATGTGGAGAGATGTAAGAAATTATAACCAAATTAGGAGAAATGAAAAGCAAATAAGAAAAATCTAGATAATTGAGTTAGCAGACAAGGACTTTAAGTTATTAATATATTCAAGATACTAACAGAAAAGATAGAGAACTTCAGCAGAGATTTGGAGTCTATAAAATGGAGTAAAATAGACATTCTTCAATAGGAAAATATTGTAGCTGAGCAGCACAGTAGACAGATTTAACAGCAATTTGGACATAGCAGGAGATGGTAGATGGAAGAAAGGTTAATTAAAACTGAAGGACAAAGAGAAAAATAAAGTAAAATACAGACCAAATTTGAGGACATTTGAGATATGACTATTCTAATTATGATAAAAAAAATAGGGGAGAGAAAGACAGAGAGGGAGAGAAGTGTAAGAAATATACTAAGAGATAATGACTGAAAAATTTCCCAAAGTGATGAAGTATATCAACCAAGAGATTCCAAAAACCTTCAGAACTCTAAGCAGAATAAAAACAAAATCATCTCCAGGCACCTCATAGCAAAACTTTTTGGAAACTCATTCATTTTACAGATGAGAAAACTGAAGCTTAGAGAAGTTGACAGCAGTCTCTAATATGTGGTCAAACAGGCTTACACACTGCTCAGTACTGCCTTAATGAGGGATTGGATCAGCAATCCAAAGTCAAATAGACCTAAAATTTTAATGTTAGATTGGTGACTCTCAGAATAAGGTCTTCACTAAATGTGCACTTCAGATATTTGTTATCTCACCTAAAATCCAAAGAGGAACTAAACTATTTTTCTATGTAAAGTTGGTAACCAACACAAGAGGAGAAAAGGGATTTACTGTAGTCTGATTGAATTTATTGCTTTAAAAGAGAAGTGAAACAAAACAAGTTCCCAAGGTCACAAACACGTCCTGACTGCTTTGGAAAAAGTGACTATGTGTGCTTATCTTTGTTGGTTCAAGGTTGCATCCTGTTCTTCTTTGGTCTTGGCATGAGGGAAAGAGGACAATTTATGAGAAAAACTCTTTATTTGAGGGGTATTAAGAATGAGATCACTGCCAGTTCTGACTTTGATTTCCTTTTTCAAATAGAAAACAGTTTTAGGAATCTCAATATTACTTTGGTGTTGCCTATAGGTGCAACTTATTTCAAAGCAAAGATAATATATAGCATTTCAGTTCCTTGGGAAAGACATGAGAATACTTGGTTTCCTACAAGTCTTACTTAGATATTTGTGGGGAAAGAGAAGAGTCAGAGCAAACAGTTGGTTCCTAAATCTTAATTTGGACAGCATTATTTACCTAATTTTATTATAACATTTTTCTTCTACAGAAACTTTTTACAATGTCATACCAACAGTTCTGAAATCCATTGAAGTAAATGTTCCAGGTACCAAAGTCTTATCAACTCCTCAGAAACCCACCACTGTAAATGTTTCAGCTACAGAAACCCCACCAACTCCTCAGAAACCCACCACTGTAAATGTTCCAGCTACAGAAACCTCACCAACTCCTCAGAAACCCACCACTGTAAATATTTCAGCTACAGAAACCTCACCAACTCCTCAGAAACCCACCACTGTAAATGTTCCAGCCACAGAAACCTCACCAACTCCTCAGAAACCCACCACTGTAAATGTTCCAGCTACAGAAATCTCGCCAACTCCTCAGAAACCCACCACTATTAATATTTCAGCTACAGAAACCCCACCAACTCCTCAGAAACCCACCACTGTAAATATTTCAGCGACAGAGACCCCACCAACTCCTCAGAAACCCACCACTGTAAATGTTCCAGCTACAGAAACCTCACCAACTCCTCAGAAACCCACCACAGTGAATGTTCCAGCTACAGAAACCCCACCAACTCCTCAGAAACTCATCACAATAAATTCTTCAGCTACAAAGCCCACACTAGTTTCTCAGACATACACCACTGTAAATGTTCCTGCTACAAAGGTCCCATCACCTTCTCAGAAACCTTCCACAGCAAATGATTCCGCCACGGCAGCCTGGAATTCCCCAATATCAAACACTATCTCTACAGCAGCTCAGAATCCCATCATGGCAAATGCTTCTACAACCACACCAACAACCCAAAGATTCACCCCAGCAAAATCTTTACTTACACAGAATCTTAAAGCTACACAGAAGCCCACTTCTATACATAGGACTGAGGGTCTCCGTATAACACACAGATTGACCTCTGCTCATGTTACAGCAGCAAAAAGCACAGCTGTTCCCAGGACGAGCCCGCGTTTTCATAAAACAAGCACACCTAAAGGAAGAGGAAGCGCTCCTTCAGGTCAGTTGACTCAGTTCAGGTTTCCACATATGGCTTTTATGTGCCATGGTAGAAATTTCAAATTCATCAGGGTTAAAAAATTAAGTAGTCTCTGGTTTATTGTAGGGAGAGTTTCTTCATAGCAATGTTCCGACTTTCTACAGAGGCTAACTTTGGATTGTGCTAGAGCATACCTTTAAGAAAGAAATATTTTTGCAATGATATAGAAAAAGGTTGTGGTGTCATAAAAGCAATTCTAAATTAAGGTCAGTAAAAAAATGCTGCTTTTCATGTTAGCTTTAGGGAGTCACTGAATTCCTCATGATCCTTCAAAGAACCAAGTATGTATAATCCTTTAGGTTGATTTCTAGGTCTGATTCAATGACAGCGACCCATCCCTCAAGCATGCTAAAGGAACTCTCCAGATTCCCTAGAGTTGCTGATTTGGTTGAGTACCTTAATAGTATCTTCTAAGTAATTAAAAACACAGAGTTCTTTGAAATCTTTCAGGTTAACTCTTTAAATGACAGTTTTTATGAAAGCAGAGTAACATATGCTTTAGATTTAAGGAAAACTTACTGAGTGAATGAAACCCATCTAACTAATTAATGCTTTTTCAGACCACCAGGATATCTTCTTATTTTACAACTTGCTTAATGAATAGCCATTTTTATAGACACTCTTGTTCTCTAATAGAGATATGTGGATTTTTGGTTGTTTTTATCCATTTGTTTATATATATATATATATATATATATATATATATTTAATCTCAATAGGACTGAGCCAAGAGATAAATTTTTTAATTATTTTAACTTTTCACTGACATCAGCACACAGAAAATTGTAAAAAATATACATAAAGGCTTAATAACTTTCCTAAGGCAAATATCAGTGTAACTACCACATATGTCAAGAAATAGAGCAGCATCAGCCCCTCAATTTCCAGATGCTCTGTCAGTTCTGAACTCTGTTCTCTGACTTCTCCAGCTAGTGAAACTGTGGCTTTCCGCTCTCTATGCCAAGTGGCCTAGGGATTTCTCCCTGCTGCATGCAGGCAGATCCCACTCCCTGCAGCTCATCTGCTGCCTGAGCTCTCTCAGTTTTGATTTATTTCTTCCTGAGTTAGTTTGTTCTTCCATGTCTTCAGATAGTTATCATTGTTGATTTTTCAGTACGTTGTCCAGATTTCATAAATTGCCATACTCAAGCTCATTTGGCCATTAGCCACAATCTTTAAGAACTTAAAACATTACAGACACTATTGTTGAAATTTCATTTGTATGTTTCTTTATTCCTTTAGGTAAAAGGTCAAATACACAAAATCTCACTCCAATTAGTTCCCCTTTTTAAAAAGCGAACTTTAATTCCTGCCTGCTTCTTTAAAAAAATTTTTTTTTATCAAAGTATAGTTGATTTACAATGTTGTGTTCATTTCTTCCATACGGCAAAGTGACTCAGCTTGTATGTATAAATCCCAACCTTCTAATTTCTCTCTCCCTCCAACCTTTCCCCTTTGGTAACCATAAATTTTGTGTTCTAAGTCTGTGAGTCTGTTTCTGTTTTGTAAATAAATTCATTTGTGTCATTTTTTTTTTTTTAGATTTCACAATATGTGCTATGATATGATAGTTCTCTTTGTCTGACTTACTTCACGCAATGTGACAATCTAAAGGTTCATCCATTTTGCTGCAAATGACATTATTTCATTCTTTTTATGGCTGAGTAATATTCCCTTGTATACATGTACCACATCTTCTTTATCCATCCCTCTGCTGATGGACATTTAGGCTGCCTTCATGTCTTCTTTATTGTGAATAGTGCTGCAGTGAACATTGGGGTGCATGTATCTTTCCCTATTAGAATTTTTATCTTTTCTGGATCTATATTCAGGATTATTGGATCATATGGCAACTGGACTTTCTTGGTAGCTTAGCTGGTAAAGAATCCACCTGCAATGCAGGAGACCCCGGTTTGATTCCTGGGTCAGGAAGATCCCCTGAAGAAGGGATAGGCTACCCACTCCAGTATTCTTGGGCTTTCCTGGTGGCTCAGATGGTAAAGAATTTGCCTACAGTGCAGGAGACCTGGGTTTGATCCTTGGGTTGGAAAGATCACCTGGAGGAGGGCATGGGAACCCACTACAGTGATCTTGTCTGGAGAATCCCCATGGACAGAGCAGCCTGGCAGGTGTCCATGGGTCGCAGAGTCGGGCACGACTGAGCGACTAAGCGCACACACAGCAACACTATTCTAGGTTTTTTAAGGACCCTCCATACTGTTCTCCATGGTGGCTGTACCAATTTGCATTCCCATCAACAGTGTGGAATGGTTCCCTTTTCTCCACACCCTCTCCAGCATTTACTGTTTGTAGACTTTTTGATGATGGCCATTCTGACCAGTGTGAGATAGTACCTCATTGTGCAAGCTTCCTCTCTGTGTTTTTATTCTTATGCTACATTACTGCTTTGCATGTTTTTTATAATTTATGTAAACAGTATGTCATATGTTTCATTACCTAACTTGACTTTTTGCACTCAACATTGCTTTTGTGGCTTATATTGATCCAATTAGATTCAGTTCATTAATTTTAACATTTATATGTGGTTACTGACTTCTTAAAATTTTATAACATCTCTGGCCCTAAAAATTTTTGGTTGAATATATAGGTTTAATAGGGCAAAGTGAAGAGAAACAAGCTCACTTAGTATAAATTTGTTATAGAGCTAACTGTGTTGAAATACTTTTTTTCTGCATGAATATAAGATAATTTAACAAATTTAACTTAAACTTTTCAATTATTTTAAATGATTATAATAAAAATACAGTGAACATTTGGGATCGAATTTCTCTCTTATATACAATTAATTTACCCTTTAAATATTGTATGCCTTTTCTGCTCTTATTGAAAAAATAGTAGTAGCTATTACTGAGTGTGATCCATAGTGGCATGTACCATGCACCTTCCATTTGTCAGTATTAGTCCTTACTGTAACCTTGATTTGCCATCAAGTCATATAACCAAATTTATGTAGTGTTTATTTCAGTATTCAATAACTCTTTAATCACATTTTATGTTTCTATTGTTGGCCGACTTTGTTTAATAGAAAGAAAAGAAAGTGAACTTGCTTAGTCGTGTCCGACTCTTTGCGACCTCATGGACTGTAGCATATCAGGATCCTCAGTCCATGGGATTTTCCAGGCAATAATACTGGAGTGGGTTGCCATTTCCTTCTCCAGGGGATCTTCCTGACCCAGAGATTGAACACGGGTCTCCCGCATTGTAGGCAGACGCTTTACCATCTGAGCTACCAGGGAAGCCCTTGTTTAATAGAGATAGATACTGATGTGTGTTACTTGATTGTTAGTAATATGATTGCTTTCATTAATTTATTTATAATTGTTTCTTTTAGTTACTTTTGAACTTTAAGTACAGTTGATTGATAAACATATATTTATTAAATTGCTAGCAAATCAATGACTTTAAAGCATTTTACTTTTGTAATTCTTTCCTTTTTTCCTTCTTTAGTTGCTAGCATCATTGCATCGGGTAAGTGTGTCTCTCTGAGAGTTCGCAGAATTTGTCATCGCTTTTGGATATATAATTCCTGGAAAAGAATATTGTTTCTTTACTGTCCTTGTTGTTGCTGTTCAGTCACTAAGGCGTGACCAACTCTTTGTGATCCCATGGACTGTAGCATGTCAAGCTCCTCTGCCCTCCACTATCTCCCAGAGTTTGGTCAAATTCATGTCTATTGAGTTGGTGATACTGTCTTAGGGATACTATCAGAATACAGTATGTGTGGGTGCCAAAGAGAAAACAGGTAAAGGCATCTTATTGACATGTTTGTGGGCACCATTAGGTACTCAGTATGTTAGAGTACTCAGTATGTTAACATTTCCCACCATGTTCTTGTTCCAGGGTAATTTTAGGACAACTTCAAATCATTTGGCCAATCAGTCAAGTATTATTGCATGCCTAGTGGCTCACTGCATCTCATTCTAGTGCCTAAGAATCACAAGAGGAGAGAGTTATTAATACAGTTTCTATCCTCAACTGTTTTATAATTAATCATAAACTACTCATTGACTATTTCTAGATTTGTCCTATCTCAAGTAAAACAAAGAATGTTACTTTTGGTTATATCTTCTTCCTTTTCCCTTCCCTGTCAGTGGTTTAAAGTAAAGTTTCTCCAAAAAATACTCTATTGTTGTGAGCATGAGACCAAAAACATACCTGTTGCAATTTCTTCTATTATTCGGTCCAGTCCTTTTTTGTTTGTAAATATATCATCTGATGTTATGTATTAACAAGATTAATGAGATGGTGAAAGAAATGTCTGTTAAGAAGCAATACAGCTAAATTGGCATATTGATAAGTAATGTCTAATGGAAAATACACTTATAAAAATTTTTAAAAAGCACTTTGATTTATGTGTTTATAAGCTAAAAGCTCATCTTATGCATGCATGAATTAGCCATATGACTATGAAACTGAAAGTAATACTTGCTTTTATTATTTTCATTGTTACTTATTACAGTTTTTATGTTTTAGGCAAACCTCTTTTAAGCTAAAAGATTTATTTTGAAAGATTCCAACAGTTGCAATTCACTTTGTCCTTCCTAAATTTAAATAAAAATAAATACATTCTAAGTGAAAATCTCATGATCTAATGGCTTAATGACATTTTTAATAGACGAACTTAAAATTTAATAGATAAGCTTTTTCTTACCAGCTCAGTGGCATTCAGTGAAGATTTGAGGTGCTTATTATTTTCCCTAAAATTCTTTAAGTATATATTGTGTGATTTTCCAGAAACTTTCCCTTAGGGTTAGTTGTAATTCCAACCTGTGCTCAAAAATAAAGAGCAATTCCTTCCCTCTTATATCAGACATATGGTAATATTTTTCTTTGGGATCTTATACTTGTAAAACACAAACCTGAAAATTATCTTTACTTCTTAAATGTAGTCTGTGAATGAGGTCACTTTTCTCATTTTAAAGATAAACTCTACAACAAGGAAATTGCTTTTACTGATTCTACTGCAAAGGACATGAGTGACACAAATGATATTGGAACTTTGCATTTGAATGCAAAAACTTTGAATATTTTCCTGTTTAATTTTGCCAAGAAATAGAGACTGACTGCTCATCTCAGAGCTTTATCTGCTGTGTAAGTGAAGCCTGCCTTGTGGTTTTCTTCAAACATTTTATTTGTTTATTTGTTTTTGACTATGTCAGGCCTCAGTTGCCACCTGTGAGATCTTCATTGTGGTGCGAGGGCTTTACAGTTTGCTGCCCATGGGCATCTGACTGAGGCCTAGTTGCCCCAAAGCATGTGGGATTTTTAGTTCCCTGTCCCGGGATCAAACCTGCATTCCCTGCTTTGGAAGGCAGATTCTTAACCTCTGGACCTCCAGGGATATCGCTATGAGGTGATTTGTAAAGCTATTCTCTGCTGTGTACTAGTGTATTTTCCAAAAACAATTTTTTTCCTTTTTTTTTCATTATTACCCTCTCCCCCTCAAGGATCTTGTAAGGCTTTTCCCCCCTAATCATCCCTATAAAATGTTAATACTACAGATATAATATAAATCTATTTATGTACTGTATGCACATCTACTTTATATGTAAAAAAGTCAAAAAAACACTTTTTCCCCTTTAGGGATGATGCCAACCCCACTGAGAATACATGCTGTATATAATTGTGGGGTTTTCTCTCTATTTTTGTTGACAGTATTTTATAGAAGGACGACTTGTGCTTTGGAATCAATCAGACGTTGGTTTCAATCCTGTTTTGGATTTTTTTTTCTTTCCATTTAGTAATTACTCAACCCAAGTGATTTACTTAATCTCTCTGAGTCTCAATTTTCTCATTTATGAGATGGTGATCATGATTCCTGTTTAAAGTCTTGGAAGCTTAATGAAATAATGGTTGTGAAAACTACTTGGCATAGTGCTAAAAATTGGGTAAATCTCAGCTTTAAGAATTCTTTTTTATTTGTCACTGTCATCTTTCTGAGATGGATGTCTGACAATTTTATCGCTCCCTCTGGCCACACCAAAGAATCAGATAGTCCTTTATTAGAGTGACATGTGCATGTTGGGTTGTGGTGAGGACTGCATGGAAACCCGCCTGTGTGTTATTTCACTTACTTCTCACACCGGTCCTGTAGTGTAGCTGTGTCCCACCTTGTAACTTAGAGAACTGAGGCTGTGCGAGATTCTTAACTTGCTCAAGGTCACATGGCCATTCGGCACTTGAATAGAGGGAGGTAATTAGTTTCTTCAGCACTCAACGCTTGAAAGGGCAGAAAAATTCTCCTAGAGCTGTACAGGTCAAATTTAACAATTAAGATAGTCCTGATTATTTATAAGTGTTGCTTTTATTCCCTTCAATAAAGCAGAAATAGATGTTTTTGTGGAACTCTCTTGCTTTTTCCATGATCCAGCGGATGTTGGCAATTTAATCTCTGGTTCCGCTGCCTTTTCTAAAACCAGCTTGAACATCTGGAAGTTCACAGTTCATGTATTGCTGAAGCCTGGCTTGGAGAATTTTGAGTATTACTTTAGTGGCGTGTGAGATGAGTGCAATTGTGTGGTAGTTTGAGCATTCTTTGGCATTGACCTGTCTCTTGAGAAACCTGTATGCAGGTCAGGAAGCAACAGTTAGAACTGAACATGGAACAACAGACTGGTTCCAAATATGAAAAGGAGTACGTCAAGGCTGTATATTGTCACCCTGCTTATTTAACTTATATGAAGAGTACATCATGAGAAACGCCGGGTTGGAGGAAGCACAAGCTGGAATCAAGATTGCCAGGAGAAATATCAGTAACCTCAGATATGCAGATGACACCACCCTGATGGCAGAAAGTGAAGAGGAACTAAAAAGCCTCTTGATGAAAGTGAAGGAGGAGAGTGAAAAAGTTGGCTTAAAGCTCAACATTCAGAAAACTAAGATCATGGCATCTGGTCCCATCACTTCATTGGAAATAGGTGGAGAAAGAGTAGAAACAGTGTCAGACTTTATTTTTGGGGGCTCCAAAATCACTGCAGATGTTGATTGCAGCCATGAAATTAAAAGATGCTTACTCCTTGGAAGGAAATTTATGACCAACCTAGACAGCATATTAAAAATCAGAGACATTACTTTGCCAACAAAGGTCTGTCTAGTCAAGGCTATGGTTTTTCCACTGGTCATGTATGGATGTGAGAATTGGCCAGTGAAGAAAGCTGAGCACCGAAAAATTGATGCTTTTCAACTCTGGTGTTGGAAAAGACTCTTGAGAGTTTTCCCTTGGACTGCAAGGAGATCCAGCCAGTCCATCCTAAAGGAAATCAGTCCTGGGTGTTCATTGGAAGGACTGAAGCTGAAGCTGAAACTCCAATACTTTGGCCACATCATGTGAAGAGTTGACTCATTAGAAAAGACTCTGATGCTGGGAGGGATTGTGGGCAGGAGGAGAAGGAGACGACAGAGGATGAGATGGTTGGATGGTATCACTGACTCGATGGACATGGGTTTGGGTGGACTCTGGGAGTTGGTGATGGACAGGGAGGCCTGGCGTGCTGCGGTTCATGGAGTCGCAAAGAGTCGGACATGACTGAGCTACTGACCTAACCTGACCTTTATTCCCTTCATTGCTGAAATCCTATGTTGTGACACTCATAAGCTGCTTGTAGCAATTAGCAATAGTAAAGAAAAAAAAATTAAGAGAATGCTCAGTGAAATATCTAAAGTACTTTTTCTTTTAAACATCACATGCTTATTTACTTATGCTTTTATGTCAAATAGGATTATAAGGAAGAACACAACCTGCTCACAGCTTTCTTAGTTTTTCACAGTATAAAGAGTGCATTTCCACTTTATGGCATGTGTATAATTGAGGCCTTTTGAAATGACCGGGTGAATCCACATTTTTCTGGAAAGGAGGCAAGCCTCATTCTGATTTGGGTTGTTCAGGAATGGAGATAATACTCTATATATTAATATAACACCCATCTAATACAAATTTAGTTTGAGTAATCTCAGGTATTTTTATTGAGAATATTATCAACAGTTAAAATCATGCATTTTTACTATTTATAAGTACCATGCCAGTTATTGGAGATAATGTGCTAATATGTGAGAAACTGCTTTGCACTGTTTTAAGTACCAGGTAAATATATTTCTACATAATGGGGAACATTACTAAAATACTCCTTTTACTTAGAGAAAAACATTTCTAAAATTTTGTGATTTTCCTACCCAAAAGCTCTTCAATGACACTGGAATCATAATCTTAATTTCATTTATAATATTATAGTTTCATTTATCCCAGGTTGTTGTGGTTGTTTAGTTGCTCCTACTCTTTGCTACTCCATGGACTGTAGCACACCAGGCTTCCCTGTCCTCCACTATCTCCTGAAGTTTGGTTTGCTCAAGTTCACCTCTATTTAGTCAGTGATGCTGTCTAACCAAGTTGGCCTAAATTGTTTTAGTCTTAAATTAGTACTCATTCACCTTTGGGTGAATTTTAGATCATAAACTATTGCCTTTATAAAGTTTCTTTGTTTTAATTTGCAAAATAGTATTCTCATTAATTATTAATTGAGGAATTATTTATTTAGAATTATACTTCTCATATTTCTGTAGTTTGCATTGGTTTTCTGTTAAAACATAAACCTTCACACTTTCTTTTAGAATCACATATATGTGCTGACCAGTGTTCTAAGAATATTCCCACTTTTGTCATCCAGACATTTGGGATCACTTTAAAATTTTTTGATCTTCATTTATCATTCAAATTGAAAATGGGATTTTTCTGCAACATTTGAAAATGGTGGGATTAATGGGAAGTGGTAAAACAAAAAGAAACCCCAAGTTTTCGAGGAGCCACGATTTATTAGTGCTGTCTTTCAAACTAATGCTTTGGTGCTAAGGAATCAAATAAATTGGGTAAAATACTGTAAATTCTGTGGTAGGAACAGCTGTTTTTAAAATTATGTATCCACATGACAGCTCAGTTATGCGACATTTATCATATTTTGCTGATTTGAAACTGGACACACTTGTTAGTCATATTAGCTTCAGTTGCTTTTCTAGTATCATTTATGCTTTTCTTTGTAGTACAGATCAAAAACATAGAGTTCAAGCATTTGGGATGGTGTAGTGGGGAAGGAAAGGGATACGCAGGGTGGTGAGGAGAAAGAGCACTGATTGGTTTTAAGAAGAAAGTTTATGTGTAAAAATCAAGGTATAAAAATATTTTTTTACTGTTGATCAAATTATTTCATCAATTATTTGTTGTTGTTCAACTCAAAATAGTGCATTTAATATTGAAAGTAAATACCAGTTTCCCTAAATGAAATTTTATCTGCAGTAGACCAAACACTGGAAAGCATTTCTGTAGTTTTACTCTCCATGCCCAGGTACTGATGCCTTTCCTATGGTGGAGAAAGGCCTACATCTCTGTTACCTTTACTATGAATGGAGTAAATGGCCTTGCCATTAGCCACATATGGAAGCTTCACCTTTCTGAGACTCAATTTAATTATCTACAAGATAAATGTGAACTCCAAGACATCTCCTAGTGCTGAAACTGCACATAGTACAGTCAATATGTTTAAATAATCAGTGATCAAATAATTTAAAATTAAGCATGGTGGGGTTGAAACATTTTAGAATCCTCTCAAATCTGTAAGATTTTATTTGAGCATTGTGATACTTCATTTTAAATATTTAATTTTCTCTTGAAAGAAGATAAATAACGCGTAGATCTTACTGTCAAACTTGTGACATAAGCAAGCAAGCAAAATATAATTCACGTCTCTTGTTTTTTCTTTAACTTACCTAATAATCAGTATGTCTGCCATTGTGAATTACACTGTATATGTAATTGCTCATTTCCTTATTGATTGACTTACCATTTTTCCCCCTCAAGGATGTGTTCCTGTTACTGTAATAATTTGTATCATAATTCTAATCAAAATTTCCCGAGACAGTGGAAAATCAGGGTGAGCAAAAATTCTGATGCTTTTAAAAAATTCGTTCTTAGCTTCTTTCCAGTAAAACTTGACACTATAACAGTAGATAACTTTCTAAGCTTAATTGTACTTTTTGACATGCTATATCTTTATTCCTTTTGTCTGTATTTACTATCTTGGATGAATAGCCTGTGTCTTTAAAAAAAAAAAATTTAGAAATCTCAGTATATACAAGAACATTAAGTGATTTGAAAGCCAAAGTCTCATCGCAATCTATTGATCAACTCATCTTTTTTCTCTACTCAGTACAATTCATGAATATCTCTGTGTTGTACACAAGTGAAAATGTCTAGAAAAAGAAACTCTAATGTATTGTTAAATTGCATGTGACTAGGCCTATGAATAAATCGGATTTACTAATAGATGCCAATCTAGCCAAAGTCAGCCCAGTGCTTAAGAGGGCAAGTTCTAGAACCTGGTTGCTTGATTCCATTTCAGGGTCTACTGTTTACATGCCATTTGACTGTGAGGAGCTTAATCTCTCTATGCCTCAATTTTCTCATTTGTAAAATGGGGGAAATAATAGTACCCACTTCATGGAATTGTAGTATCTGTTTTGTCGGATCAAATGAATCACCACCTGGAAAGGGGTTAGGATCTCACTTGGCACACAGTAAGCACTCAGGTGATAAAAAACAACACAGAAAGAAAAAGAAAATCAGTACTTGAAACGTCTGGTCTGCATTGAATATACATGTGTTAAATATAAAGTCATGGTTGGCTCTGATATATCCTGTAGGCAGAGTAATATTTAAATTGACCTTCCATTTTGTAGATTTTATCATTCAGAACACTAATTGTGGAGTTCACATAAACTGAATTCTTTCTGAAATGCCCTAATGCCTGTCTATTTTTTCATTGCTTAAGAACAATTGTATTTTAATGCTGTTACTCATTGCCTTTTCAATTCTTTGGATGATGTATCTCCTTTTTAGCCTTCATGGTTCTTTCCCTTCTCTTTAAGTGAACAATGTTATTTAAGCCTTTTATAAGGTAAAGTATGAAAACATTCTTTAAATCACTAAGCAGTTCAGTCTTTTGTTAAAAGCATTTGGTCACTAGGTCCTATTTTTTTTGGGGGGGGGGGAAGGATTTATAGATATTTGTTTACTGCCAATAAAATATTCTAGATGCTTTAAGAGCAAATTTAGTAAAATATGACTTCTTCAGATTTTTCTGAAACTTTTAAAGAATGTGGTTTAGAGCTCAGTATAAATAACAGAATTCTAAGTCATATAAAGTGAGTTAAGTTGGTACAGATGCCTCCTCAAGACTATTTTGGAAAAAAGAATAAAAAATATTTTTTTCTGTACTTCCTTACATATAGTCTAGTTCTGCTTTTGAATTGGAGCATTATCAGTATAATTCGCAAGCCAATATTCCAGGGCTTGTTAGGTTGAGGGGGATGGAATGGAATGAGTTTGCTGGGGGCTTTCTCTTGGCTATGATAAGTTTCTTTAGATATTTTGGTAAAATAATTGATCATGATATTTTTAATAGAATGAAAAGTGCTGAAATGTAGAAGGAGGGAATATTTATGTTTTATTCGGATTTTTCAGTAAACCTAATTCTTCTATTTATATTCTGAATCAGAAAAAATTCATGCAAATCCCTGAGAAAGAATTTGCTTTTTTTTTTATGTCCACTTAAAAACACTCCACTTGCCTTATTTTGGAAGTATAAGCAGTTGAGTGTAAGAGGTAACTTTATACATTCCTTGTTATTTTCTCAATTTTATGCTGATTTAATTAAAATTTGATTTTTAATGAGACAGGGGAAAGAGTAAATGAGTGTGAAGGTGTCTCATACCTTCACCTGTTGATATTTTGTGTTTGCCTATCCAAGGATTTATTTACATCTTTTAGAAGTGTTGGTATATATGATAAATTTTAGTGTATATAAAGAATGTGATTGTAAACAAATGCTCATGTTGCTTTTTGATTGAGCTTTAAACTTTCATAATTCAATCACTATTTTCCTTCTCCACTATTCAGCTCTTACTCCCCATGTGAGGACAAAACACATAGGTGTGATTCACTATAACTGGTGATGCTGCAGAAGTAAGACCTTTGGTTTACAAAAGGTATATAGTTCAGTAAAATCACATTTCTCTGTATTGGAAAATGTCAAGGATTTGACACAATTGGCTTGGTATCTATCTGTGACTATTAAAGGACAATAGAGGTTTAAACCTCTATTATTGTTAGAATTGTTTTTCTTTGTTGAATGATTGACTAACACATTGAATCTTTGTTAACATGACATGTTTTCAGCCCTCCACTCTTCAGCAGTATACCTATTGTCTCATTCTGTGTTTTGTACTCAGTTTATTGAAATGTTTGAATGTTCACAATCCTACAAATAATCTGGAAAAAGCAAAAGATTGATATATTAGGGCTTACAAATAGGAATGCCTTCATTGTGACTATTTGCATCATGAGATGGTTGACTCATACTGTATTTGCTTCTCCCATTTGTAATGTTTAAGAAATATCAAATCTATTTTAAAGAGTCTTTTATAAGTCATGTTTATAGATCTAATCTCTGTTAGATTGTGAGTCAAAATTATCAAACAAAACTGACTTAATATATATGTATGTGTGAAACTTTCTAGGTGTCTTCTTTTGATTACACTTTCTTCCATTCCAGGGAGTTTTCATCGATTTTAAATCTGAAATATCTTAGTTGAATCGAACTTGGCAATTTATCACAAGAAACTAAAAACTCAAGTGTCATATTTTAGTTGGTGTTGCTTAAAGAATCCACGTACAATGCAGGAGACCTGGGTTTGATCCCTGAGTTGGGAAGAACCCCTGGAGAAGGGAATGGCTACCCCTCCAGTATTCTTGCCTGGAAAATCACCTGGACAGAGGAGTCTGGCAGGTTATCATGGAGTCACAAAGAGATGGATATGGCTGAGTGACTAACACACTTTCATATCTGCTGCTGCTGCTGCCTAGTCGCTTCAGTCGTGTCCAACTCTGTGCAATCCTATGGACTGTAGCCCATGGGGTTCCTCTACCCATGAAATTCTCCAGGCAAGAGTACTGGAGTGGGTTGCCATGCCCTTCTCCAGGGGATCTTTCCAACCCAGGGATTGAACCCAGGTCTCGGGCACTGCAGGCAGATTCTTTACCACTGAGCCACCAGGGAACTGTACTGGGTGGGATGGTCCATGCTGTATAACTTACTAACTTTGCATTTCTTTTGTACCCCAAATTAACCAACTATTCTATTTCATGATTTATCACATAGTAATTAAAAATGAATATATATCACCAGTAAGTAAAGTTATTTTGGTTTTAATTTTTTTTTCTCTTACTTTCAGGACATATGTATATAACATTGACAGTTTTGCTTATGATGCTAATAACCGTTGGCTAACTGAGAAGTTGAGAAGAAAGTGTTTTGCATGTTATCTTGTTTTTAAGATGCATAGGAATGTCCACGAAGCAAGGAAAGATGAATCTGTCCTGGAATCACAGTCTCAACACTCCTAAGACCCTTGAAAATAGAACAATTCGTAAGATTAAGAGTGATTACTTTCATAAAAATGTGGGAAAGTGGAGAGATTTGTTCATATTTAGAATGTGAGAAAAAAGAAAAAAAACTGAATTTTTTTCACCAAATATGTAATGTTATTTTTATTTATAAAAACACACAAAAATTAAAACAATTGGATATTGAAAACAAATGAACCAGTCTCTTATATGGAAAATTGTCAAAGAGATAAAACACATTATACAATAATCTTCCTTGACTAAAGGGCATTTTCGCTTTTCTTATTCTATTGAGATGAGCCAGAATTAGTTGGCAGATTTTTTTTTAAGGAAAAACATGCTGATGATCCAAGAGTGTTGAGTTTCTTGGGTTAGTTGGTGACAAAGGAGCAATAAAGAATGAAGGAATAATTCTTCCTTTTTCATACAAGCACAGATAGTGAATTAGCCCCTTATTTGTAAGATAGATCAGCTATAATTTTGTTCTTAGAACAATTTTTTCTATTTGAAAAAGAGCCCCCCATGAAAGAGTGAAAGTTGTCTTAGATTTACTTAATGTCTTTAAAACTCTGTAGAGATATTATATTAATATAAGAAAAGATTCTATATTTCTGAAGTGAGATGTTCATATTCAAATTGTAAATCTTATTCTTTTGTAATGTTAAATTTAATTTATATTTATTTATGTTTTACATGTATATCAGAAAAAGGTCAAGGAGATATGTAAAGAAAAATTTATTTTCCCTACATAGAAATAACCACATTTTTGTCTCGTGTGGTATTTGGCATATATATTCTTGTGTAAATTATTTATAAATAAGGGAGTCCCTTCCTGCCTTTCATAGGAGTTTAGAGTGCTGCCCTTTGGCTTAGTGGGAATCACTTTTAATGTATGACTTGTTATTGATTTACCTAAAGGCAGTCACATCAGTTTCCAGATTCTTAATATGTTCTTGTCATCCTGCCAGTTACATGTTAAGTGTTGGAATAGACTAGAATATATGCATAAATAAATTTCACAATAATTATTTTGTCACATTGCTTCATTGACTTTGTTGTTCAGTTCAGTTCAATTCAGTCGCTCAGTCGTGTCCGACTCTTTGCGACCCCATGAGTCGTGTCCCCTCTTTGCCAGGCCTCCCTGTCCATCACCAACTCCTGGAGTTTACCCAATCTCATGTCCATCGAGTCAGTGATGCCATCCAACCATCTCATCCTCTGTCATCCCCTCCTCCTGCCCTCAATCTTTCCCAGCATCAGGGTCTTTTCCAACGAGTCAACTCTTTGCATGAGGTGGCCAAAGTATTGGAGTTTCAGCTTCAGCATCAGCCCTTCCAATGAACACCCGGGACTGATCTCCTCTAGGATGGACTGGCTGGATCTCCTTGCAGTCCAAGGGACTCTCAGGAGTCTTCTCCAACACCACAGTTCAAAAGCATGAATTCTCTGGTGCTCAGCTTTCTTTATAGTCCAACTCTCACATCCATACATAACTACTGGAAAAACCATAGCCTTGATAAGATGGACCTTTGTTGACAAAGTAATGTGTCTGCTTTTTAATATGCTATCTAGGTTGGTCATAACTTTCCTTCCAAGGAGTAAGTGTCTTAATTTCATGGCTACAATTACCATCTGTAGTGATTTTAGAGCCCCCCAAAATAAAGTTTGTCACTGTTTCCATTGTTTCCCCTTTGTTGTTAAAGTGTTTTAAAATAAATTCCATAAGCATCATGACATTTCACTATAAATATTTAAATATGTATTTCCAACAATAAAGACTTTTTTCCTAACAAGCCACATCATCAAAACTAACAAGATTAATGGTAATTTCCTAATAGTTTCTAATACTAGGAAATTCTTTTAACTTCCTTAAAAGTCCTGCAAATAGGCCAATGTCTATCTACTAATTCATTCATTTGTTAAATAGGAGGACCTACTCTAGCTGCTGTGACAGTCTGTGCTTCCTGGGGTAGCAGCAAGGATAATACTGATTTAGTTACTCAGAAAAATCCATAAGAGCCTACTACATGCAGGTTATCATGTGTTAGGTGCTGCAGCTACCAAATGACTGCACAGTATCTACCCACTTGTCTACTTAGAAGAAAACCAAAGCCATACACTTATTGAGAGAAAGAATGTAGAGTTATAAGTGTTACACTTGTACGGAATATAAGGAGTTCTTAAGCCATTTTTGCTAGGTGGTGGGCTGGGATCATTCAAGACTGTTCATACTGAGAAAGGACAAATAGATGAGATTCACCTGGCAGGACTGGGGGCTGCAAATAGTGTAGCAAGCTCAAAGTAGGAAAGGCTTGGAAAGAGGACTATGGTGTGTCATGTGTAGTGTAAAATAATAAATTCTGGATAGTTTATTTTGATGTGATTAAAAGTCAGAATCAATGGTCACAAGTTTATAGTAGCAAGAGTTTTAGATATTGGGAAACATTAAACTTTGGCAATAAATGGTACTGAGTCTTTACATCTTATTACTTAGGTAAGGGTATAAGCTGAAAAACATCTAACAATCAGTTACATGAAGAAAATAATTATAGAAATAAGTATTTTAAGTATAATGGGATTTTCCTGTATGACTTATAATTTTTATCCTGTAATCATGAAGCTGAATAGTTTTATATTTTCCCAAGGTAAGCTCTTCTATAATATTATACTTTAATTGCCAAGATTGTATTATTGCTTTTACCTTGAGACTGGTGCTTATTTGTTGTAGGAAATTATACTTGCTCACCACAGAAAGTTGTGTTTTATAGTATTTAACCTACAATTGTTATCAAATTTCTTGGAACATTTGAACATTAATTGTTTTTGTCTTATCACACCTTGGCACTGATTTTTTAGTCAATGCCCAAAGTGGAAATGCCTTATCTTCCACACCCCCACTGTGAGTGTTCCCTTCACCCCCTTGCCCGAGTTAAAAACTGCCTCCTCCCTAAGGTTGGTGCTTCTTTTGCAGTCCACTCCAGTGGTGGCTGATTTGTTTTCAGATTGCAGATGCTTCAGTGTTCAGAGGTGGTGGTGTTTTCCTTGCTTCCCCTTGCCACTACTTCCATCTCAGGTTTCCCATATATTATTTAAAAAATAATTATTCTTTTTACTCTGGTTGGGTAATTAACTAAAATGTTAATTTTTTTACCTGTAGTTTTTCCTCTCCCAATTTCAAAGAGCTAGCCAAATTTCAGTTCTTCCTTGCCACAGGGAACAACATGGAAGCAGAAAATTTAAAGAAGCTTAAAGACAGTTCTGTTCCTTGTTTTGTTTTTTCTCTGAAATTCTGTGCTCACGTCATAGACTAAGTTGTGCGAAGGAAGGTAGAATCAGAACCAGGAAGAGAGAAGATCCTTGTAAACAGAAAAGAAGACAGATGTTGCTCACAATCTAAAAGTTTCAAATCTAAGCATCCTGATGGTTTCTGGGGTGGGGAGGTAAGGGATGGGAAGTGAACCTTTTGAAGTTGGATATTTTGAAAGGTTAGCAGAATTTGTTAAAGGATTAGGTGTGCAGCTGAAAAAAAAAAAAGGACTCAAGGATGACACCAAGATTTTTAACCTGAGCAACAGAAAGGAGGAGGTTGCCACTTACAGAGCAAGGGAAGACTTTTGTAACAGAAAGATCAGGAGTTTGTTTTTACACAAGTTAAGTTTGAGATGCCTTTCAGACATCAAAGTGGACATGCATGAGTAGTCAAAAGTACAAATCTGGAGCTCAGGGGAGGTGACCAAGCTCGATATGCTTGGGAGTCATTGACAGGAGAACATAAGTCAGGGAACCCAAGAAAGCAAAATAAAGATTAATAGTCAACTTTTGGGTTGACAATACACAGGCTATTGGTGGCCTTGTCCAAAATTCTTCCAGTACAGTTGTTGTGGGTAAAAGCCTGATTGAAAGAGAAACCTGACAGACACCACATTAGTCAACAGATCAAAGTCACATCACCGATCATGGGACAAGTAACATGAGTTGCTCCTGACAGATCACCTTGAGAAGAGCTCGGTATCATCTGCATGGTTTAAAAATGCGAAATCTAGATCAATTTATGAGAAAGCATCAGAAAAAAGCAGTTCGAGGAACATTCTACAAAATAGCTAGCCTGTACTCTTCCAGAGTGTCGAGGTCATGAAAATCAAATACTGCCCTCTGCCCTCTGCAAATAATAAAGTACAAAAATCTTTGAGATGGAATAGCAAAAAGGAATAGGAAAAAAACAAGGAAATCAAAAGTTAGGTCTTAAACAATACAACTGACAAAATTCCATTTTGACTGATAAAGAATAAAGAATAAAAGGCGAAGACAAGAATTACCAGTATCACAGTATCAGAATGTATCACCCTATAGAGCCTGGTCATTAAAAGAAAAATAAGATAATACTAATTTTGTGCCAATAAATTCAACATTATACCAATAAGTTCAACAAAAATTAGGTAAAATGAATAAATTATTTGAAAACACAAATTATATAAAGTCTGATTCAATAAGAATACACAACTTGAATATCCCTATGTTTAAAAAAAGTTTGCAGTTAGAAATCTTTCCAAAAAGAAAATTTAGGCCCAGATGGTTTCACTGGTAAATTGTAACATTTAAGGAAGAAATTAGACCAATGTTACACAAATTCTTTTAGAAAATAGAGGAAGAGAGACTATTCCTAAACTCAATTTATGAGGCCAAAGACATCAGAAAAGAAAATTATGAACCAAGATCCCTCATGAAAATAAACACAAATTAAATTAAAAAATTTAAAAACAATCCCATTTCCAGTAGCATACAAAACATGAAGTATTGAGAGATACATTTTGCAAAAATGTGAAAGAACTCTATGAAAAAAACTATAAAACTTTGCTGAAATAAATTACACATCTAAACAAATGATATATCGTTTTCATGAATTGGAACAGTTAGGGAAATTAAAATGGAGGAAACCTTGTTCAAGTTTCCTAAGCAGGAGAACAGGCCTCTAATCTTGCTTCTGACCTACCTGGACAGTG